CATTTCATGCTCTGAGTGGATTTCACTGGGCCTCAGTTTTGAGCCGTAACTGAAGAAAACCAGGCAGGCCAAAATGAGGAAGTAGGATTAGGAGTCAGGTCATAAATCGATGAGACATAATGGAAGGCTGGAAAAAAAAAAAAGGCAGAGAGCTTCAATTTCACAATCTGCTCCTCTGCCTACACACACACGCACACACAACTGGCCCCAACGCACTCTTAATCTCACACAGGCCTGCAGCCAGACCTGATTACTCTTCTTTTCAGGAAGGATTCATGCAGAAGGTGAATATCCAGCTTTAGAGAAAAGCTCTGGAGTGTTTACGCTGGGTGCTGCTGTAGATGACCTACCAGTGCGGTCAACAAGCTTAGACACAGAGGCTTAGACTCAGACACTGATACACACACACAACAGCACACATGCACTCTTGAACTTTGTTTTTGCTCTCTTTACTTCACCGTCCTCTCTCAGGGGCATAGGAATCATTGAAACTCTCTAAGTTTGACCACTCTCAACTTTTTGGGAGATAATTGTACACAATGGCTTTACGACCGAATGGCAGTAGCCTGAATGAACGCGCAAATGGTGAGTGGTAAATCCGTCTGTGCTCTTTTTAATTGTTTTGCAAAGTAAACATGCTAGATTGACGTCTTTGATCATTGTGCTTAGCATAGTTGCTCTTTAATAATACGGCTAGAACCCACTTGGCTTCAATTATTTAGAACTACTGGGTGAATGTTACACCTAATTAATATTCATGAGACAGGCTGATGAGGTTTTTAATGTGTCTTTCCCAACTTTTTAGATCAGTTCTGCTCTCTCTGTTCTCTATAAAACATCAGAAAAATGGTACAGTGTGTAATTTCTATGCCACTACTGGGACCAAAGAGTATTGCATTTTTTTATTTTTTTTATTTTGGGATACCAATATTGACTTCGGGCCGGAATACTTCTTTAGTCAGCAAGATCTATTTTTTAAAAGAGATTAATACTTTTGTTCACAAAATGTGACAGTAACGACATTTATAATGCTGCAAAAAAGATTTATATTTCAAATAAATGTTCTTCTATTCATCAAAGAATCTGTAATACTGAAAAACCTATTACAGCATAAAAATATTAAGCAGCACAACTATTTTCATCATTCATATTAATAAAATTGTTCTTGAGCATCAAATAGCATATTACAGGATTCCTCAAATTTTGCCCTGGAGGGCCAATGCGCTGCAGAGTTTAGCTCCAACCCTGATCAAACTCACCTACCTGTGATTTTCTAATGATCCTGAAGACATTGATTAGCATGCTCAGCAGTGTTTGATTAGGGTTAGAGATAAACTCTGCAGGAAAGTGGATCTCGTGGGCCAGATTTGAGGATCACTGGCATATTAGAATGATTTCTGAAGAATCATGTGACACTGAAGACTGGAGTAATTGCTGCTAAAAATTCAGCTGTCATCACAGGAATAAATTACATTTAATTTACATATTTAAAATATATTAAAATAGAAAACATTAACATTTTAAATTGCAATAATATTTCACAATGTAACTTTAAAAAAAATATATAATATAATATAATATACTTTAAAGAAATAAAACTATACGTGCAATTAAGACAAATTTTAACATGTATTAAGCTATAAAACTAATAGGTAGCCTAAGTCACATAATTTGGTCTCAGAAATGTGAAAATAAATGTTTGGGTTCATATATTTAAATCACATGACATCATATTTAATAAGTAATATTCGAGCTTTTGATAGCAGACTGCCCAGGTTGTCAATCTGAGAAGCAGGAGCAAAAGTCTCCATTGAATCTCACTGCTTTCTAGGAAACATAATTAAATATTTATGTGATCTTATTTAGTAATTTTTCTTTCCTACACACCAGCCTTCACTAATACACAGAGTCTCTAGCTGAGTAAAGCCCCTGATTGAGAGCTGAATATGGAAAGGCAGCACATCTGTCATGTGGAGACCCTCAGTGATCTCTGATGCCAATAACCTTCTGCTCTCTGGAGGGCCGTGGCACTGCTGGGGCAAAACGAGCTGCAATAAGCTCTAATGCCTTCCTGTTTCCTCCATATTCCGATCATGCCAGGCTCATTCAGGGCCACTTTGTATGCATCCGTGCCATGCTAGCAGCACAAACACTCAGTGCCGTCTTCTCCCCGGACAGGCCTGCAGACTTTTACATGTGCTGTATGCATAATGCCCGGCTGGCCGTCTTTCTCCCTTCACTCCTTCATCAAGTGATTGATGTTTTGCTATCACCAGCCTCTGAGAAAGCACTAAGCGAGTCGCTGTTCTCTCTGCTCAGTCTCACATGAAGCTTTTTTTTCCTGTTTTTATTTAAGAATGGAGGGAACAGAACAAGATTTGCTTCTCCCAGTCCAAAGGAAGGGTAAAGCAGCAGGGTGTAAAAATAATGGGTTATGTATGGATTCAGGAATGTGTGTAAATGAGAGAGCAATGAATGTGACGTCCTCTGCCTCACTGTAACCCTCGCGTTCCCTCGTGCCCCTGAGATGAGGACAGGGAGACTGCAGGACATGTGAATTTGACAAATGGAGCCACTAAGCAGCTTTCCTTCCCTCCGTGTGCCTCTTCAGAGCCCTTGAGAGATACACCAGTGCCTGAGGAGACGGCTGGAGAACACACTCCTGGCTCAGGATTGTGTGTGTGTGTGTGTGTGTGAGGGTGTAAAAAAATGAAGGAATGATTTCCTGCTACCAGAGCACAGCATTCATAAACACGTATTAACATAAAGACATTTTTAATATAACTTTTAATCAGTGACACACATAGAACCCAGCTACGAGACACTACACTATCACCAGGCAACCAAAAACCAATTATAATATTTTTTTATGTTTATATTTTCTATTTGTGAATACCAGAGTATTTCAAAATCTCAAGTTTAAATAATATAATATAAAACATAATAGATTAACACTAGGATATTTCAAAATCTCTCATCAAGTATATAATAATAGTTTAAATAAGCTAATAAAATATAGTAAAAAATAAAGGTGAACACAAAACAGAAACTAACTAAATACCAGGATATTTCAAAGTCTTTGTGAATTTTATAAAATGAGAATATAACATGAATTAAGTATTAAATAACACCAGTATAAAGTATCCAGTTATGTATATAATAGTTTAAATAATCTTATATAATCTAATAAAATATATTTAAAAAAATAAATCTGAACAAGACAAAACAGAAACAAACAAATAAGTAAATACCAGTATATTTCATGGTTTAAATAATCTACATTTGAAAGTTTTTATTTGTCAGTAAATGTTGCTTTGGCTATATCTTTAACGGTTACTAAATTTGTGCCCACAGAATGTATTTTCAAATAATTTCATTTGATTTGCATGAGACGAAAAGTGGATACTTATTTATTTTGTAATCTGTCCATCCATTTTCACCAGGTTGATTCATTCAGGCCTGTTTGCAGATTGGCTCTGAACACAATAAATGTGTGTTATGACACTAACAGAGCAATCAGCCAATCAGAGCGACACAAAGACATTATTGCTGTGATTATTTTTTATCTGATGAACACCTCTGAGAGGATATATGAACAAACATTAAGGTGTAAAAGAAATGAGACTTTTATCATTTAGGTCCAAAAAAAAAAAATTTTACTGTATGTTTGTGTTTGCATAAAAACCATTAGCTATTGACTATGTAAAAGCTGAATCTGTTCTTTTCTCCTCTGGCCTTCAATCTAAGACTGGAACAATCGACTGGTGCAGAAATGGGAGACAAAGCACATAACAACAGCATTTAAAGATTTACACAGACATTTGAGTAATACATTACAGAGCAAAAAATCGTTCTGCAACAATGAGCCACTTCAGGAAATATGAAACACTGCATGCAACACAAGATTAATCCACAATGGTGTATTTTTGCGCTCTGTATTGCCTATTGTGCAGTAAACAGTGTGAAGGAGCAGCCAGCTCGGCTTATGGGGTGAAAACTCGATCTGCAAGAAAGAGATTTGCTTCTTTTGCTTCTTTTTTTACACAACGAATTCAAATCCTCAGTTATGCTGCTTCATGTATAATCTAGGCATTTTTTGCAGAAAAAGGCTGTAAATTGTCAGTAAATATACATTTATGAGCAATTATTCAAAGTATTTTAATTCAGCAGTGTTTTATTTTTCTTAAGCTTCCATTTGTATTCAATAGAGAACAATCAGCTGAACATGTGCGGCGAATGTATTGTAATCAGTGCTGCAAATAGACTTTTTGTCATTTCATCATTTCTTGTATTCTGGACAAGTGGCAGTTTAAAGTTAAAACTCTTTAATGATTTTTTTTAAATGATTTGTTTCTTCCAAACGCACAGCTTTTCACTTCCCAAGACATTCACTGATGGACAGGAGTTGTGTGGATTACTTGTGGATTATTGTGATGTTTTTATCAGCTGTTTGGACTCTCAATCTGACGGCACCCATTCACTACAGAGGATCCACTGGTGAGCAAAATTTCTAAAATGCCTGCTCAGCACCTTCTCTTTTCAAATATCACACTTCACAGCAGTAAGCGCACAACCAAGGGATTCAGCGAGCAGCAAGACAGACAGACAGACTATAGAGAATGGGATGAAAAAAACCAGGAAGAAACAAAGTTAACATGAGCCAGGCTCTTACATTTCAACTCCAGACGGATGAAATCCGTGTTTCCAAGGTTTTCCAGGAACACGCCATAGGGAGCAGAGGTCTTGAAGTAAAATGAGATATCAGCACTCGTTTCGCCTTGGAAAGTGGAGAAGTGCAGGTACGAGGATGGCGTGTTGAATGACGCTGCGTTCCAGTAGCTTCCTGTAAAACAGACCAGAGAACAGGCTGAATGTAAGTTTCAACAGTTCTGCTTCTGAAGTCTGCAGTCAAGGTCCTTTTTATCCAATATCTGAACCTGAACCGCATTAAACCACCATGAAATTCACAAGAGCAAAGCTTTCACTGACACAAAATGACTTATTGTATTGTCTGATTCTGTATTCTGCACTGTGTCCAGTCTTCAGAGGTCTCATGTACTCAAAAAAAAACATTTGAGAAGTGACCTGTATCATCAAAAAACACTTAGGAGGAAACCACCTAACATGAGGAAAACAACAATTCAATCATACAAGTCAACTCTTGTCACAAGAGTGGAAGTGCACCATCTGTAGGAGAATGGAAAGTGTGTGGTACCCAAGAGTTATTTCAAAGCCAGCTTGCCAACATCTTCCCTTTATGATGCTCTTGTGGTTTGACCCCCACCCATCGTGTAATACAGCCACTTATCTGAGTGGAAGAGACAAAAATAAAGTGTCATTTCTCTCTAAGATGAGTAGTGCGTTTTTCAGGTAAAGGGGGATAGCTGAGCTGAGGGATAAAGTGAGAGATCACTCAAAATCAAACCAAAAAGTTGGAGGCAAGCTTATGTTTAGCTCGAGTATCTCCAGAGCTTTGCAGTGGATGGTTATTAAACAATCTGTGGCTGGTTTTAATGTGTGGGTGCATGTGTGGGTGATAACATGCCAGCTCCCGTTCATCATTCTGGTGAAATATCTCCTTGTACAATTAAAAACTAACATTTGCTACACTGCATACTGGCGTATAATTCTTGTTGACAAGCATGCTGTGTTTTGGATGTTGGCTTTTGCATAAGAAAATGCATTCACCTGCTTCTTTAGAAAAAAATCAGAAATTCATGATTAGCGCTAAAGACCTTCCATAAAGGAAAATTAACTAACTAACTAAAAACCCTGTAAATGTGCAGGTTAAGATGTCACAAAGCTTAATGCTAATTCCAAAAACTACCCAAATAAAATAAAGTAAAAATGTAACCGCAAAACACACAAAAAAAACAAAAACAAATATCCAATCATATTTATAATGCATTTGGGGTAAAAAGTTTTTTTTTTTTTTAAACGAATACTTCAGCAAGGCTGCATTAAATTGATCAAATGTAACATTCAAGACATCTGTATTGTTACAAAAAGCTGTTGTTTTAAGCTTTCTTTTCATCAACAAATCTTAAAAAAAAAAAAAAAAAAGTATCATGCTTTCCACAAACATTTTAAGCAGCAAAACGGTTTTCAACACACATAATAGACATATTAGAACGATTTCTGAAGGACCATGTGACACTGAAGACGACTGCTAAAAATTCAACTTTTCCATTACAGGAATAATTAAATATTAAAACATTCAAATAGAAAACTGTTCTTTTACGTCAAAATACTATTTCACAATATTACTGTTTTTAATATATTTTGATCTGAAATGCTTTGGTGAGCATATGTTTTTTTATGGTAAAAAAATAAAAATAATTTACTGACCCCAAACTTTTGAATGATTGTCACACGATTGCTGCTGTGTAACAGCGCGGAGCAAAGGAGCGAGGAGACGTAGGAGAATTTTACTAATTTTAATAATCAAAAGGAAACAGAAAAACACACGTAGCAAGGTTGAAATGAACAATTCCAGACAAAGGAGAAAAAAACGGGCTAGAACTCAAATAGGGCAGATAACAAAGGGAAGACAGCTGATGAGGATAACTAAATGACAAGGAACACCGGGAACAAATTGGAAACAATTAGGACAGGACCGGGAAGGACCAAATAAGGGCATGGAAACACAGGGAAAACAAAACAAACACGTAGCAAGGTTGACATGAACAATTCCAGACAAAGGAGAAAAAAACGGGCTAGAACTCAAATAGGGCAGATAACAAGGGGAAGACAGCTGATGAGGATAACTAAATGACAAGGAACACCGGGAGTTTTTTCTTTGTCCTTTGATTAATAGACATCACAGCAGCTGGGTTATTTTGCCTGTTTTTTCTTTAAGAGCTGCTGCTGCTGAACGCGACGTGCATCTGACACACGCGTCATATTTTCTCTGAACTCTTTTTACCTTTTCTGACCCACTTCAGGCCTTAAAGTCTCTACTAATGAGCTGACGATTTGAATCGGGTGTGTTAGATGAGTGAGACAGTTGAGGACAGTTTGGAAAACCATTTCAGAGTTTTCAGTTATGGCTTAAGTGAATGTAAACAGGTGGGTGAAATAATTAAATACCTGTCTGTCTCATTAATGTTAATCAAACAACAAAAGATGTTAAATAAATGTATACATGTTAAACCTACTGTATTAGAAAAACGAGTTAATTTAATATTTAATTTGTATCTATTGTATTTGCCTTATGGTTTGTAATTTGCTTCTTTTTTATATAATAAATAATTATGTACGTGTGGTATGTGTGTGTGTATATATATATATATATATATATATATATATAAAATTAAAAATAAAATTTCTCATATTGTGGTCATATATCACCCCCCCCATCTATCTATCTATCTATCTATCTATCTATCTATATATATATATATATATATATATATATATATATGGTGTTTATGATGTTTGTAAACATTTTGCTTTACCGGCATTTTAGCACATTATTTCTGAATGTAGCCTAATAATAAAATGCGAACGTGAGCCTACGTGACTTAGACTATGTTTTTTTCCCCCTCTCAAAATGCAATTTTAAACGAATAGCATTTTTTAAACAATGCAGCAAACATTTTAAAATATCTTAAAAAATACTTTAATGTCTTTAAAGCGTTAACAGATTTTTTTCTTATGTTTAGTAGCCTATAATTTTGCCAAAATCTAGAAAAGATGATGCTGTATTGGCTGTGACTAAATGCAGCGGGTTAAGATACCAGATCTCTTCCTGTTTTTTTTTCTTTTCTTTTTGAGTAGAAAACGCTGTACTTTATTATAATTATTATTATTATTATTATTAGGCTATTATTATTAGGTTATTATTATTATTATTATATTCAAAGAAAATGTTTTAAAAATAATATTATTAACTGGTATTTTTTCTAGGCAAACCGGTTTCGGAACGATAATAATACAGAAGAACGCAGGAACAGAAACGTTAAAATATTGATTGTGCTTGGAGTGAACCAATTGGATTTTTTTTTTTTTCGTTTTCAAGCCCTGGTGCCACTCCTTCTTTAAAGAAAACAGATTAAAAAAACAAACTAAAAAATAATTTGAAGACAATAGGTAACCATAACCAGCAAAACCAGGCTTAGCAGAAAGACCATGCTGGTCCACTATCTAAACCAGCTTCAAACTAGCTTGGAAGTTCAGTAGGGATCGTTTATAGGCACTCTTGTCGTAATAAATAAACGGCAGAATGTCTGACTGAAATATTTTTGTGCTCAGCTACTGGCTAAATGCTAAACCACAAACACAGAGTGACAGACACAAACACACCGTCATTAATAATGACTGAGATCAGATTTATCCCTAGACATTTACTGTGACTCTGCTCTAATGTCATGCATAAAACACAACTGTATGGAAAGGAGGAGAGCAGAAGACAGAGAATAAACGATCTAAGGAGGGAAAAAACAGAATGTAATGGAGAGGAACACTGCGACAACAGACCGGAGAGATATTAGAGGATGATATCATCTCAAGACAGATGGAAACAAAGAGAAACAGAAAAAGAGACTACGCTGTAAAAAAAAAGTTTTTTGAAGTTGAAATACTATTTCAGCTTTACTTTTAATTCAAGGTATTGCTTGCCATTTCAATGGGTCAAAGTTTAGCTGGTTAGTATCAAAAGGAGCTATAACATTGCAAAAAAGCATATTTCTCCATTGATAGCCATGCAAAAGTAACCATGCATTCATATAAATCAGAAGTTTTTAACTATATTACTGTATATATATATATATATATATATATGCTTAAATAAATTTATATTTGATAATTTACCAGATGCTTTTATCCAAAAGCAACTTACAAATGAGAGTAATAGAAGCAATCAAAAAAACTAAATAGTAACAATATATGTGTCGTGACAAGTCCCGGTTAGTCTGAAGAGAAGAAATTGTTGAATAAAGTCATTATTTTTGTTTTCTCTGCGCACAAAAAAAACTGATGTCACATGGACTATTTTAAAGATGTCCTTACTACCTTTCTGGGCCTTGAATGAGGTAGTTCTCTTGATGTCTATGCAGGGTCAGAAAACTCTCAGATTTCGTCAAAAATATCTTCATTTGTGTTCCGAAGTTGAACAAAACTCACTGATTTCGAACGACATGAGGGTAAGAAATTAATTACAGAATTTTCGTTTTTGGAGGAACTATCTCTTTAAGTAAAAGGATAGGAACCACTGTCAGATATAGTGAGTGATTCATTTGGACTGTTTCGGCATGTCTTCGACTGATTCATTAAAAGAACTGGCTCATAATGATTTATATTGAATAGTTCTGCACTGCTCAAGCCACAAGTTAGTCCTTGCATGCATGCAGTAAAGACAATGCAATAAAAAGTCTTTATATCCATATCACACAACTTCAGACTGCAAGTAGTTAAATTTTTGCAGATTCAGCATTACTGCAGTATAAAGCTACTGGTGTGTACCTGCAAAAATTGTTCACTCCATCAGCACTGAATGCCAGGGAAGTCAAGGTCCTGCTCCTTTTCTTTCTCACAGCCACCTAGATCCCATAATTCTCTTTCTAACAAAAAAAACGTACTAAACTTCACCCAATGCTTATTTGTCCCTGTACTCACTTGTTCTGCGAATAATTGACCAATGTGTTTCTGTGGCGACTGGAGTAGGAGGAGAAGCGGAGACGTTCACGAGCCCATAAGGGAGGTCTGGGCTTATCACAGCAGCACAGGAACATCTCTTTTATTCAAGCTTGCTGAATGCAAGACTCTTAGTCTGTCCTTAAAGCTCCATCCATTAACACCCAATGTTCGAGCACATACTCATTTAATTATTCGACGATTTGCAGA